CTCGTGCCCAAACTTGTACCAGTCTTGTTCCCTGTCCCACTCCTCCTGCCAATCGGCCATGCCACAACGGTCGTTGTCCTTCATGCTGCCGACAAAGAAGTCGCAGCAGCTAAGCGCGTCCCACACCGGCAAGCCAGTGGCCGCGCGCACGGCATCCGAGTACGGTGGCAGCTCGGTACACTCCATCAGAATAGCGACGACAGGGTGCTTCGAGACCACGCGCTTCGCCAGTTCGACCATTCCTGGCTCAACCTTCAGTGTATCCACCGCCTCGCCTCGCTCAACGGCCTCAAACCCCGGCACATCCTTGCAGTCCACAATGACGAATCGCTCCTCTCCAACTTGCACAGCGCACGTTCTTTCGATCAGTTCGCGCATTGGCTCCAGCGTTGCCTTGTTGGCCGTGAAGATTGCGATTTGCTGGCTGGGTCCGTAAGCGGCCTTGATCGCAGGCAAGATGCACAACGAGGAGAGAAACACGGGGACTCGGGTGAGCAAGGAAGCAAACTCTTGGAAGTGCATCATGAAGCCACCTGTGCAGGCGTGTGCGCGAACAACAGATCGGTGAGCTGCTCTTTTATCGGCAGTCAGGAGCCGCTGCGCCTCCGTCAGATGCCGAGCGACTCCCAATCTCCAGTCTACATGTTATGGGCGGCTAGCGCACAGTCGCCCGTGATGGCGCAGACCTTCTTCGCCTGCACGAGGTACTTGACCCCTGCGATAAAGGCCCTTTGCACCTCGCTCGTCATTTTGCCAGACTGAGCCATCATACGTAAACGAGCCAGAGTGGGCGATATCTCCAACAGCCGCTGGATAGTTGTAGTCCAAGCGGATTACACCAAGTGCTGGGTGCACGCGCTTTGTACCGTCGACGGACATAGAAAGTACGCAGTCCGGACTGTGGACAAAATTGCTCTCGGCCATGGTGCGGTAGAAGCCCGCCTCCTTCTGCGCCATCTTGCGTGCGGCACTCGCAGTGGTTTCCAGCAACGAGATGTTCTTGTTCGTCGGGTTCTGAAGTGCACTCTTCATGAAGCATACGCTTTCCCCCACGCTGTTCACCACGGTGTCCATCACGAACCTGGTGGATGCACCCGCAGTTTTGCTCACATCAGCGGTGGCTTGGCTCGCAGTGGCGATGGCTTTGCTCTCAATCCCTCAGCGCCTACAGCAATCGCCACGTTGACATCAGCCGGTTTCGCTGCCTTGGCCGATGAGCCGCATGCGCCCATGACCGCCTGCAGCGCGGCGCGCGGAGGACCCGATCTCTGTGGTCTGTGGCGATGGACGGGAACGCGCGGACGTACGGCTCTAAATTCTATTCTGCAGCTTGACACCCAAGTGTTGAGCACCGGTGACTGTGGGAATGGGGAAGCAGAGTTCAGATCAGTCGAGGGAGTGTGATCTCCCTCATCCTCAACGGGCGTCCAATCGCAATCAGATTTACTACGGCGGTGGTCCAATGGTAATCCGCATATTGGACGTCCCCGTCCATTGTTCTCGCCGTTCTTCGGCGGGGCCGCGTCAGGGCGGGGGCGCAGGCGCGCGCCCCGCCCGGCGCGCAGGCGCCAGTGCGGCGCGGAGGTTCTGAGCTTGGGCTGACCTTCGTGGGGCCGAGGCGGTGCCTCTTGGCCCGCAGTCGGTGCCCTTTGCCGGTCGCACAAAGGCCAGCGCGGCCTCTGTGCGGCTCTCTCTGGCGACAGTCTGGCTGGCGACTGCCGTTTGTTGGTACAGCTCGCAGTGCCCCGGCCGTGCATAGCGAGCTCTACGAAAGTAACTTGCGAACACGGTGCTGGTCAATCCCTTACGAAAGGAACCCAGCAACGGAGCTATGGCACAGCAAGTTGTGATGTGCTTGGCTGCATTGCGCCTCGCATTAAGGGCTAGGAGGCTGGCTGTACCGGAGAGGAGATGCCGTGAGCAACATACGGCACGTGCCTCTGGGGGCCGGATGGGCACAGTGCTCAATGCCCTCTACGACCGTCGCGGATGCGACAGTTTCTGCTTCCCTGCGCTGTGCCCTGCGGCCTTCGGTGGGTTCACCTATGTCCGGCCGCTTTCACTTGGGGTGTCAAGCCGCAGTTTGGGGTTGCGTCGTGTGCCAAGCATGGCCATCACAGTCAGGCATGCTGATACTCTCGCAGTCTGCCCGTGTGTGTGCTTAGCCCCGCTCAGGCTTCTAACATGCTTGGTTGTCCCAACTTTGTTGCCACATCCCGCAGTTACTGCAGCTTGACACCCAAGTGTTGAGCACCGGTGACTGTGGGAATGGGGAAGCAGAGTTCAGATCAGTCGAGGGAGTGTGATCTCCCTCATCCTCAACGGGCGTCCAATCGCAATCAGATTTACTACGGCGGTGGTCCAATGGTAATCCGCATATTGGACGTCCCCGTCCATTGTTCTCGCCGTTCTTCGGCGGGGCCGCGTCAGGGCGGGGGCGCAGGCGCGCGCCCCGCCCGGCGCGCAGGCGCCAGTGCGGCGCGGAGGTTCTCCCACCCTCCATCCCCATCGCGCTCTATAAACTCTCACAAGCCTGTCTAGAGGTAGTGGGGGTTGCGTCGTGTGCCAAGCATGGCCATCACAGTCAGGCATGCTGATACTCTCGCAGTCTGCCCGTGTGTGTGCTTAGCCCCGCTCAGGCTTCTAACATGCTTGGTTGTCCCAACTTTGTTGCCACATCCCGCAGTTACCGTGTCGTGAGAGAGTGAGAGTGCTGTGTGTATTCTTTTTGTTTGTGAAGGTACACACATGACGGACCAGGCCTCCAGCGTCACCGACACACACCTCTCCCCCACGTGCTAGGTAAAGTATATTGCCCATATTCACGCCGCCCCGATGACGGGCACCACCTCGATCACCACACACCTCACCTGTCCGATCTCTACCTCGTCGATACGACGCACCTGCATGTACGTGAGGGGCGGGAAGAGCACCTCCTCCTCGACAGGGAAAGCTGAGAGGAACGCAATGCTGGCGCCTCGCTGCATGAAGTTGGGCGTCCGCAGCCGCAGCAGCAACGGACTGCGCGAGGCGGAGTAGCGCACTGCGACGTCAAGCGAAGTGGTGGTGGACATCGGCGCCTTTTCGGTGCCGCCGAGTCGTTCAAAGTCGGCGGGGAGGGCGCGGCTCATGTTGGCGAGGCCGCGCCACAAGTCAAGCGGGCCAGAGACTTGGCGATCGACCGAACGCAACCGACTGATGGCCTCCGTGAGAAAGTAGACCGTCACCGGCAGCGCGTGCGGAGACTCGGACCAGCTGTGGGAGAGATCGACGCATCGCATCGG